CCAGGCTGGCCTCGAACTCACAGAGATCCGCCTGGCTCTGCCTCCCGAGTGCTGGGATTAAAGGCGTGCGCCACCACCGCCCGCGGAGAACAAACTTTAAGAAGGTAGGCAGTATGTAAACCACTTTGTTGACTTCCATTTAATTCCTAAGAGTGGGAATAGTGAGGATGGGCAAAGTGAATGGAAATCTTTTCCTACTATAGATTTGAGAAAAGGGACTGTATACATCTCATTTGTTCACCCAGAATGCCAAGTATCTCTTAGTAAATGTTAAAAAATACCATTTTTATAATTAAAGTATTAAAGAATACTACTAAAAACAATGTATTGATCATTGTATCTATCACCAAGTCGGTTTTTTTTTTTTTTAAATGCCGAATGCTGTTTATTGAAGGAGGGAGGAGGTCTTAAATACAGGCTTACAGCACAATGGGAGAACCCCACCCTGGAGGGCAGAAGTTTGCTACTGATGTTTTACAATCTTGCATCTAAGCTGTTAACGCCCATTATGCAGGATACACAGACAAGGAACTTCCCTTAAGCATTCAGGAGGGTGAAACCCTAGAGGGAATCAGCATAGGGAGGATATCAAGGTCAAGGTCCGCAAGCAAGGCAACAGTCACCCAAAATGGGGGCCAGGGCTCTTTTTACTAATAAATGAGGTCCCCCTTTTACTAATAAATGAGCTTCTGACTTAGGTTTTGTGGGATGTCAGCAGGTCATCTTACCCTATCACCAAGTCTTTGTGTGTGCTGTCATAGAAGTTACTGTCATAGAACTATAAGGAAAGTGTATTTATTTACGTTTCAGGGTGAGCACTCAAACCTAGAGCCTTGCGTAGAGTAGGTAGGTACTTCTATCAATCAGCTATATCCAAACCCCACCGGGATTTTTATAGTCCTTTGTGTATCTAGCTTAGAATGCATAAACACTTCAGTGTACTAATGTATATTTAGCACCAATGTGGAACTAACTGTCATTAAGGCATCACTTATTTTTACCTGTTTGACAATTTCCTTCAACTTAGAGAGAAGGAAGACTAGGGAATTTTTATGGTTTCAAATTAGGATAAGGCCCTTTCCAGGTACATTTTTACCTTCTAGAAATAATAATAGGGATGACAGTAATTCCTTGGGAAAAAAATTTTAATATTAACAAATTTCAAATACATTTTTGTGAGTACAATATTATTGTTTAATATACACTACAAAATCCTTAACTTTATAAAGTATCCAGCTGTCTAAATATCAAAAGAATTCCACTCCTGATATAAAGATTAATTTCTCTATTATATCAAAATTAAAATTTACCCGTATTCTAATACCGAGAAGTAACAACATAATAAAGTCTACCTCGACACCATCAACAAGGATCTCATAAACATCTTTGATACATTTAAAGTTTATCATTTGCTGTTCAGAAACACATGATTTTCCCATTTTAACACATATTAAAGGATCAAAACACGAGGGGAGAAGATGTGTTCATTCTACAGCTGTGTAGACCACAGGTATTTCCATTTCTTGTGCAAGTGGGACAGAGCAATGCTTTGGTGAGAAAACACAGACACTTTCTTGTGGGAAAAAGAGGAAGAATGGATAATTTTTTAAAAAATGTTTTTCAGAAACCTGTCGATAGGGTTATTTCCACCCAAAATATCAAGTTTCAAATACTCCAGTACTTAGCTTTGACCTACTTATTGCTGTTTTTCCTTCAGCAAAGCTATCATTACAGTTTTGCTCAGGTTTTTTTTAAAGGGTCCAGTGTCTTACCACCCAAGCAACACTGAGCTCAGACCAAACTCTAGTGATCAACCCTCCTTTGAGAAGTCATTCTAAGAAGAAATCTGTTTGACCTCAAAAGAAAATCACTTGGTTGTAAGAAGGTCTAAAGTTCCTATGTTTTCCATTGCGTTTCAACTCAACAGTGTGTACCAAAGCATTGTACACCGATTTCTTCTATAGATTTCATCTCATATTCGAAATACTATTTATTTTAGGAAGCTTGAAGCAACTTAAGGGCAGACAATGTTGTGTTTACCCCCTTTGGGGGGTTGGAGTTTCAACCCTAGGCTGCATGATGCTGAACATAAGTCACATCTCCCAGCCCAGTATTCCTCTTCATATCAGGTTCCTAACCTTCAGCTGTGGTGGGTTTTTTTTTGTTTGTTTGTTTGTTTGTTTTTTCTCCCCTCTTGTAAAGGCTAGTAGCCTGTAGACACACTGGATCAATAGAAGATCTGTGAGGTACAACTGAGGGAAAGCGCTTGTGATTTTGATTAGTTTATTTTTGAAACATGGTCTCAATAGCATAGGCCACCCTGAGTTTCTGATCCTCCTGCCCACTCCTCCCAAGCACAGGCATTAGAGACATTTGTCCCCATGCTCCTCGTGCCTCATTCCATTTGTTTTACGGTATACAGTCAACTAAGAAAGCTATCAGCAAACTGAAAACAGGATTTAAAGATTCCTCGTATGTTTTCAAAAGCCTGGCCGGAAGTTACGTTTCTCCTACCTCCACTTCCTTCTCTCTCGTGGCTAAGATAACAGGTGTGCGTTACCATGTTCAGACACGCAGCTATCTTAAAGACAGACAGAGGTATTATTAGTACATTCATGTAGGAAGAGTTTGAAGCATGTTATCAGGAAAGTAAGATGGAGAAGATACACAGGAAATCACAATTGCTGTGGTGGTTTATTCAATGGTGTCAGATAATAGTGAATGAGAAAGACTGAGGAAATGGTTAAGTGGTAGAGCATGCGTGCACAAAGCCCTGGGTTTAATTCACAGCACACAAAACCCTCCAAAGAAGCTAAATGTAATGTATATAAGAATGAAGACTAAGAAACTTTGCCAAAAGCTTGTAGTTTATAACGTTGTACACTTATGACTTAAAAAAATACTAAGATATGAAGATACTGTATGTAGGTTGCAACTGGACCACATTAGTTAGTGAATGACGCTTGGGGTACATGGGTGAAGCACATAAGCTTACACTTGGAGAATATAGGTTATGTTAGTATTAGTTACCCAGCGTACTTTATCAAGTAGGTGCAGTCAGTGTGTTTGCTGTTGATATTTGAGAGGATACAGAGACATCTGAAACAGTATTAGGAAAAGATAGGCAATGACCAATCTGAGGAACTACATCCAATACTTAAGATAACTAACAAGGTTTATCACATCTACCAAAGGACTGTAAGACATTTGTTATAAGCATCACATGAAAACTAAAAGGGACACTTCTACCATTGCATTTGCAGGGAAGACATCCCCTACCACAGAGTGCTCGATAACTCGGGGACAAAGAGAGACAACCCAAAAGCTGGCAAACAATCCCATTCCATTTCTTTGCAGGAAAGACTTATAGTTCTTTAGGGTCAGGCAGGTCACGGTCATATGGTAATTTCACACACTCAAAGCAGAACTAAACAGCTCACTTCTCCGAGTCCGCTTTACATTACTGAGCCGTAGCTTTCGAAGGAAGAGCTCTTACTGAACACTTAGTGACATAAGGCAGGCCTTTCCAAGTGGCAGCCAGAGGACCAAACTCGTACTTCTATCTTAGAAATAATCAGCGTTTGCATAGCTTCATCACAGAGATACACAATGTTTTAGAGAACTGTATTTTATTTCCATTAGGAATTAAGGTTGATTTTCTAAAAAAAATAAAATAAAAGTAAAAAAGCAGGTTGATGGGTAAGATAAATTGATTTTGTTTTAACACAACATAGTTAAAGTACTTTTCTGTGACTGTGATTTATTAAGTGGGGAACAAGAGCTATTTTTGACATAGAAAAGGCAATTAGAAACTAGGGCAGTGGTGGTGCACGCCTTTAATCCTAGCATTCTGGAGGCAGAGGCAGGGGGATCTTTATGAGTTCAAGGCCAGCTTGGGCTACAAAGAGAGTTCCAGGATAGTCAGGGCTACCTAGAGGAACCCTGTCTTGAAAAACTTAAAAAAAAAAAAAAAAAAGAAACTAGCTTAAAAAAAAGAAATAATAACTTAAGGATTTTGCTATAATTTATCATTTATAATGATGGAAATTCAGTATTTTTATTATAAAAAAGATAATATACACTCATCTATTAATTTTGTTAAAGTAAAAGCTAGATCCTGAATTCTTCATTATTTTCTTAGAAGCTGAGTATAAATCACCAGTTTTTCCCAGTCTGAGGTAATTCAGGCCTCACCTAATTTGGAGTCTCAAAGGTATTTCACATTCAAAAATATTATTTTCAAATTATTTTACAACCTACTTTAAAACCCAATGTTCTCATAAGGAAGGCCATGTGATAAGCTTACTTTGACTGGTTAAAAAAAAAATACAAAAAGTTAAAAAAGAAAAAAAAAAACTTGCCCTGTACCCCAGAGGTTTTATTCTATAGATTTTTCAACCACCATCCCAATAATTTAATTAATACAAAATCCAGTAGTTTGCAGTTCACATTTAATGATTAGCTCCTACCTTGCATGTTCTTTAGAACGTAATATCCCAACTTTGGCGTTGAATGTTTTCCTTATATGAACACATCATTGGTCATTCCTATTTGACAGCGGTTTACAAAGCAGAAACACCCTGCAACCGGTGTTTCCGAAGACAGTGTCTAAGAACATAATCCTCAGTAAGGCACTTTCGCTCGTTCTCAAAGTTGTCATTCAGGTTTTTCATCTTTCTTAGACTCAAGTCTCTGTAAGTCATGTAGTGATTGCTCCTTCAAGTAAAACTTTAAGTACTTGATTTTAGTACATTTGCCGTTAAGTAGCATCGATGATAAGAACGGAAGATGGGCATCAGGCTCTGGGAAGGAAAACGAGAATGCAGATCTTCTTGTCTACTTTAGATTTAGAGACCTGGTAAGGTTTTCTCTTGTTGATCTTGTTCAAGAAGTTTGAAATCTTCCAAAGGAAGACTGCTTAAGGCCGCTGGTAAAATGTGTTCTGAGATGCCCTTAGGGAGCATGTTACTTGCTTCTAGATTCTTCACAAAGCACGTGGCTTTGATCCATCTTCGAGTTGCTCTGCGTTCCCTTTGCAGGCAAGTTTTCATTTTTCTTCTTAAGCTTGCTATTTCTTTTTCTAGTTTAATTATCCTTTTTTTCGCCTCCATAGGGTTCCTAAAAGCGTAACTGTGTTCAAGTAGTACTTGCTGACTACTGTTCGCCTTTAAATGACATGGTCCAGTTGGAGTAAAACTGTCGTTTTTCTTCAAAAGATTCCTTGACTTGAGTTTCTGAGCCGAATAGAGAGTTTAATATAAATTATGGATATCACAAATAAGTAAACAGTGTCCAGTTTTGAGTAACATGGTATTTAAACTGCTCTTTTAAGAACTGCTTTTAAAGTTTAATGGGCAACAACACCATTCTATCTCATGTAACCAAGGCTTAAGTTTCTCAATAGATTGAATGAACTCTAGTCACTTTGTACTTTTCTGAGACATGGTGTCTCTACATAGAAAACTCTGGCTGTCCTGGAACTTGCTTATGTAGACCAGGGTGGCTTTGAATTCAGAGATACACCTGCTTTGATCTCCTGAGTGCTGGGATTAAAGGCGGGTATGTGCCGCCATGCCTGGCTAGTTACTTTTTTCTTAGGTCCTTTCTCTACAGAGACATTAAACCATTGATTTAGAAATAATCAGTGGATTTTCAAGGAATCTTCCACATTATTCAATATGATTCTCTGGTTTTAAAAATCTTTTTCAATTCTTTTTACTAAGACCAAACTAGAATTTGTTTAGATATTTCGTTTATCTATGGCATTGATCTCCTTTTTGTTAAGTATTAGTCCCTCAATTTGATGAATAATTCAGACCTGGAATCTACTTAAACAAAAACTCACGAATATGTTCTCAGGCATCAAGTTCCCAAACAGATTTACTTATTAATTCTTCACACTAAATCTTCAAAGATTTAAAATCTGGCTAGGAATTTTTTTGTCCAAACCAAAAAGCTAAGGATCTTGTTCACTATACTCCAGAAACATTAAACAACTTATTGTTTTCCTATTGTGTCACATCTTCTAATTGTCTTTCATTTATTAAATAAACATTCATTCAAGGTAGAATGGTACGCACTGTGATCCCTGCATTCAGGAGGCTGAGGCAGGTGTGCCATAAATTTGAGGCTAGCCCAGAGCTACACAGTGAAACTGTCTCAAAAATGCCAAAATATAAAGAAAAAGAAAAAACAATTTTTCCACTTTGGAGGGAGGAGCAGGACAGCTAGTTCAAGAGTAGCTTGTAGGGCTGGAAGATAGCTCGGTAGTTGAGCACATTGGTTGCTCTTCCAAAAGACCCAGATTCAATTTCCACCACTTATATGGTGGCTAACAACTGGTCATGACTCCATCTTTCCAGGAGATTCAAGGTCCTCTTCTGGTTTCCACAGGCACCAGGCATACTTGCGGTACAGATATGCACTCAAGCAAAAGACTAATACACACAAAATAAAATAAACCTTAAAAACAACAACAACAAAAAGGAATAGCTTGGGCTAGAGTTTGAAGATAGATTGGGCTACCTCAATAGCAAGATTGTCTCTCCAAACAAACAAACAAAAAAATAAAGCAAAGCAAAATCCAACCCAACCACTTACTGGGGACCACTTAATTGCTAGGGAAATAATGTTGAATAAATTATAGTTCCTACTATCATAAAACCTACAGCTGGCCTCTCTTCATAGAGAAATGGCACAGTCTCCCTTTGGTTTTCATTTTCTCAACATCTAACAGACTGTGGCATAATGAAAAGTTTAATAGTTATTGGATAATAAATGATCAAAATGTCAGAAATATGGTTCCTTCTTTCCTTTTCTTGAGATAATGCCTCATATAGCCCTGGTTGGTGTCGACCTTTCTATGTGGCAGATCAACTGCTCCTCCTGCCTCTGCCTCCTGAGTACTTGAATTACAAATGTGCATTCCCTGTGCCCGTTGATGGACATTTCAATTTCAATATTTGAGTGCATACTCGGGGTCAGGTACTCTTTGAGGTGCTCAAATTTGGAAGATTTAGAAATAAGAAAGCCCTCGATGTCCTGTAACTTTTCTATCATCATCATCATCAGCAGCAGCAGCAGCAGCAGCAGTAGCAGCAGCAGCAGCAATATACAACCTTCTCACCCATTAAAACATTAACTCATGTCCACTTCCAAATTCAAATGTCACAGTTAAACAATAGCCTTTTCTTTCTTAAGTGAGAAGACACCATTTTTCCAAACCCTCTGCGGTTTCTACCTTTCCCTTTCTTTAGGTGACTTTCTCAGTTTTTCTTCTCTAATCAGATTTCCCTAATCACACCAATGTTTCCTTCTTTCTCCTTTGTCTCTTTCCTCTGGTGCTGGGCATCACTTTGGACACTCTCCACCACAGAGCTGTATTCGCAGCCTTAAACCAAGTGGTTCTGTTTGTTTGTTTGGTTGTTGAGACAGGGTCTTAGAATGTAGCTCTGGCCACCCCGGAACTCAGTACACACACCTGGTTGGCCTCTAACTCACAGAGCTCTAAATGTTTCTGCCTCTGAGTGCTGGGATTAAGGGTATGCACCACCAGCCTGGCTTAAACTTGTTTTTAACTCATTCCCCCTGTACCCAATTCTCTCTTTTCTTTCAAATAAATCAACATTTCATAGTTTCTTACTCATCTCTCAAGCCCCTGGCTTTAGTTTTATCATCTACTTAAATTGCCAAATGCATGGTCGAAAACCTCCTCCAGTATTCCAAACTCCAAAGGCCTCATTCCTAAATGGAATGAGCTCTTTAGTTTCTTATAAAGGCTCAACTTGAACCACCATCTCTTGGCGTAACTGAATGTATTCTTTAAGTACTGACTAGCACATCACTTGTCATCTTCAAGTCAAAGCAGAGTGACTCTGAAGAAGGCTTCATTACTAATCCTTTCTCTTTTTGCCAATGGTACATTTACTGATAATGACCAACAATTTTTAGTTATGTAAGGCTGCAATTCTGGTCAAGTACCCTATATGCAAAGTGCCTGGGACCACAAGTGTTTCATACAAGGATTTGCATAGATTTTTTTAACCTGCTGAGCATCCTTAGTTTTGGACATCTAGAAGTCCAATGTCTGAAATTTGTTTGGCCTTCACAGGGGAAACAACTGGAGTCAGGAGACCTGCGTTCTAATTCTGACCTGTACCTTTATTACACAAGAGTGGAAGCTCTACAGCTGTTCTGAGGTGTGTCATTACACACTCATTTTAGCACAATGTGAAGTGCTCACGTGCACAAACAAAAAGTAACAGGAGCTAAGACATGGTGTAAGAAAGGAGAGCGACATCACCTACCATAGACTTTATATGGGTACAAAAATCAAAAATGGTTGGAACGGCATCCATTTTAAGTCGTCGAGTTTGGCCTGTTAGATCAAAACAGGAGGCTTCAAAGTGCTTTGAACAAAGAAAAGTGTGTTTTCCTGGCACAAAATTTTTGCGCCTAACCAGGCGAACCCATTCTTTTCTTCTTTTGGGATCCAAAGGAAACCTTAAAACAAGCAAACAAAGAGCAACTCAAATTCCAGCTGGCCTACTGTTGGTGTACTTCATAGTTAAGTTTAAAAGTCCCTCATTTATGTAAAAATTACACCATCTCCAGATGCCAATTTATAATAATCTTTACGTTATAAAAATTAGTGAAAAACTAACCAGTAGGTTTATTTTTCAAGACTTTAAAAAGAGGCATTCCTTCCAACCTAGCCCTTAGCAAGGGCAATAACTGAAGTACAAATAAGACTCTTATACAGAATGATCACAAGCAGGAGTAATTTCACGATGCTTTTATCTGCTGCTGCAACAAATATATCCGGTATGTTAAGGATTAAATTTTAACAAGAAAAATCTGGGCAGATACACTCCTTTCTGTCTTCCCTACATTTCACCATTGTTTTATACTCTTTCCATTAAAATTTCCAGTGGTACAAGTTATATATTTTCAAAGACAACTTAGTGTATGTGTGCATGCATGCAGAGGTGTGTGTGTGTGTGTGTGTGTGTGTGTGTGTGTGTGTGTGTGTGTGTGCATGTGCAGGCAAGCATGTGGAGGTCAGAAAACAACTTTTGGGGAATTCTCTCTTTCCACCATGGGTTCTGGACATGGAACTCAGTTTCTAGGGCTTGTATGGCAATAATATGCTGAGCCATCCTGCTGGCCCCAAAATTGTAAGTTTCTTGAGGAAAGCAATTATTATTATTTATCTGTTTACCTTTGACCATGCCTTGTAAACAATAAGAACTCAACAAAAATTTGATATATTAATACAAATACAGAATATATTAAAAAATTCTGGAGCTATGGAGCACAGCAGAAAACAAAAAAAGATAGATGATCTGTAAGCTATCCTTTTCCTTTCATATTTATTTCAAATACGAAAGATACATCCATCCAACACATTCTGCTTACGGAAGACACAAATATAAAGGGCTGTTTTTTTTTTCTTTTTTAATTTTATTTATTTTATTTTACAATACCATTCAGTTCTACATATCAGCCATGGGTTCCCCTATTCTCCCCCCTCCCACTCCATAAAGGGCTGTTTTTGAAAATTCTAATAATTCTAGCTTTGCTAATTGACTTGGAAACGTAAGACTAAACATCTACACATAGTTAAATTTCAATTACAATTCTTTTGTTTTCTTTTTCATTTAGGGCCAGTGCGATGACTCATTAGGTAAGAACATTTACCAAGGAACCTCATAACCTGAATTTGATTTCCTGGACCCACATGGTGGAAGGAGAAAAAACCAACTCCCACAAGTTGTCCTCTTCACAGGCAGGCCATGGCATGTACACACACAGTCTTTCTCTCTCAAAGACAATGAGTATATGAATGTTCAAAAGATCCCTTTGGTACCCTATGTATGTGATATATGTGTGCGGGCATGTGTGCCAGCTTGCAAATGTGAGGCCAAGCTGGTGGAGCTGGTTTTCCCCTTCAACCTTGGCATGGGCTCTGGGATCAAATTCAGATTGATACGCATGCAAGTGTCTTTGCTCGATGGCCATTCTGCCAGCTTCTAAGTCGTCTTTAGTTTGATTAGTATATCCTCTATATGTACTAATTTGTGTTTAAAAAAAAAAATAGAATCCATGTGAGACCATGTGGTGCAGAAGGCTTATCACATGTATGGGATTAGATGTCCACACATTGCCAGTGACGAGGAGCAGAGATGAAAACCCAGGTTTACTCTAAATGTCCTTCCTTACAACAGACACAACCTGAAGATTTGCTCTCACTCCACAGCTCAGAATATTTTTAATTTCATTAGATGTCTTCTGATAAAACTTACCAACCTCACTTAGTTCTCAGTGCCCTCTGCCCCCTTTGAGACAGGTCCTACCTATCTAACCCAGGCTGGACGGACGGCAGCACACTATGTAGTCCAGGGCTAACCTAAAACTCTGCAGCCAACCTGCCTCGCCTTTCAAGTGGTGGGATTACGTGAGTGAGCAGCTGCATTTGGCTTAACACTTACCTCCTAATCTGTTCCCATTTCTAAGAACTCTTATCTCATTTAATGGTTTGTCAAACCTAGTTAAGTGTATTTAATTTTACTAGGGAATCAGTAAAGATGAGCATTAAGTATTATTTGGGGGTTCATTGGCTTCCACCTTGTGTGCTGGGATGATGGGCCTGTACCACCACAGCTGGCTTTTAAAGCATTTTTATTTTTATTTTTTTGTTTTTTTCGAGACAGGGTTTGGTGCCTGTCCTAGATCTCGCTCTGTAGCCCAGGCTGGCCTCGAACTTACAGAGATCCACCTGGCTCTGCCTCCTGAGTGCTGGGATTAAAGGTGTGCGCTGCCACCACCCGGCTTTTAAAGCATTATTTTTTTTTTTTTTTTTTTTTTTTTTTTTTTTTTTTTTTTTTGGTTTTTTGAGACAGGGTTTCTCTGTGTAGCTTTGCGCCTTTCCTGGAGCTCACTTGGTAGCCCAGGCTGGCCTCGAACTCACAGAGATCCACCTGCCTCTGCCTCCCAAGTGCTGGGATTAAAGGCGTGCGCCACCACCGCCCGGCTTAAAGCATTATTTTTAACTATGCTTTACAGGTGTTATATTTTGTTTTTGAGACTCTAATGTCCTCGTGTTGATAGCAAACTCTGTAGCTGAGGATGACCTTGACCTCCCGTGGATTACAGGCCTATGCAACGTTGCCTGGTCCTTGAATATGTTATTTGGATTTTTCACAGTATATTTTAAGGGTAGATGTATCTCACTGGCTAAATTTAAATAATATAAAACATCTTACAAGTATTAGCAAATTCACATGGTGGTAACAGATGTATATATTCTTGTCCACACAACACACCCAGGTTTTTTTTTTTTTTTTTTCCGAGACAGGGTTTCTCTGTAGCTTTTCGCCTTTCCTGGAACTCACTCTGTAGCCCAGGCTGGCCTCGAACTCACAGAGATCTGCCTGTCTCTGCGTCCCGAGCACTGGGATTAAAGGCGTGCGCCACCACCGCCCAGCCACCCAGAGTTTTATAAACATTTACATTTTGGAAAAATCACTCAATAGTTTGAGTGATGCTATTTTGCTTGCATTTTAAATAAGTGGTTGAATACCTCTTACATTCTTAGGCACTGTAGACATGGTGGTTTAAAAAAAAAGCCTACCCTCTGAGTGTATATCATATTGAGAAGGTAAAGAGTCACGTAGTCCTAACATATGAGCAGACTGGCTGAGAACATTGTTGTTAGACAACCAAGCTAGTTCTCGGCACAATAGGCAAATTTACTTAACTTTTTTAGAGCCCGTTTTGAAGTTAGTGGTGCTAGGATCAAAACCAGGGTCTCAGATATACTAAATAAGTAACCACCATTGAGGAGGTAGATTCCCAGCCCTGGCTATTTTATTCCTACTATCTATATGGAAGGGAGAAATGCTTCTAAGGGGTAAGCTCTGGTGGATCCCTGTGTCAGTGACCATTTGGAAAGTTTCAGGTCAATGAGAGACCCTGTCTCAAACCAAAAAAAAAAAAAGGGGCCTGAAGAACAACAGCGAAGGCTGGCTTGGTCTCCATGTGCATGTCTGCAAATTCGAATACATACACATATTTCTCTTAAAGATTAGAACACGTCAATGCTTAGCTTAGTGGCATAGTAAGTCTTTTGTAAAGGAGTAAGTATGGAGCTGTATGGAGTGGGACATGCTGACTTATTTAGAAGGCCCTACGAAAGGACCTTAAGTGGGAGTAGTTAAGTTATGGGAATATCTCAGGAGCAGGACATGAAATAAACATGGAGGCCTTCTATGTCGAAAATATCGCAATACATTCCAAGTGTCATTGACAAGCCAAAATGGGCTGAACTGCATGACAGAATCAGCTGTTAAATACAACCATTATTAAAGACTAATTTCCTAACATTTACTAATAACTTTTTTTTAAAAGATTCATTTTTAATCATATGTGTTTGTGCGGAAATGTACACACAAACCCAGGGACCCAAGGAGGCCACAAGTTAGATCCGTTAGAGCTGGAGTTACAGATGGAGCTGCCCGTTTCAGGTGCTGGGAACTGAACCTGGGTGCTCTGGAAGGGCAGAACACTTTCTCAGCTGCCGAGTCTTCTCTCCAGCCTCAATCTCTATTTTTAAAGTTATTTATGTCTACTGCATCTGTATGGTAGACCCACGATCAATTAGTGTGATAGTGTACATCTCTTCTTATCTCCACAATCAGTCATGTCATATCGGTGGATGGAAACCAAGCTTGGTGAGAGTAAATGCACCTTAGAAACTGGGCCAATACTACAGATTGGGGTCTTTCCCCTTTCATGGACAGACAATTGTTAGTACGGAGCTATAGACCATCCATTATAGAAGGGTGGTTAGAAGTGTATGAACAGAAGCCAGTAAACCAGTTAAGATGCTGTTACAATATCCAGTCAAGAGGGAATAGTGATACATCAAGTTGGATTGCTTCCAACTTGTTGGGTAGATGGTATTTGATTTACTGAAAAGGGGGATATGGGCATCAGTATATTTGTTGGATGGCAGTTCACTACTGATATTGTCTCTATGGGACTGGCAGAGGACCAGGGAAATTGTACACATTTGGCCCACAGTCTTTTACTCATTAGAGATAAGGACTCTTACTGTTTGGGGAATCTAAACATAGATTACAGGTGGGACAAACACAGGTGAATCATTTGGGTAAGAGTATAGGAAGAGATTAAAACAAAGGAACCCAAAGGACAAAATTCATAAAGCTGCTGACAAATTTAAAAGTGGAGATTATTTCACTGAGTAAAAAAGATCACATCACTAAAAATGAGACACACAGGTCATGTTCACAGAAGCAATTTTAGAAGGTTATGAAGGAGATGTAGATTGGAATAGGTTAAGAAGTATAAAAAAATTGAAAATCAATTTAGGCAACAATTTTAAAAATGATTTTTATTTTGTATGTGTACATGCCTGAATGTATCTATGTGGGCAAGAGCCCAAAGAAGTCAGAAGAGGGGTTAGATGCCCCGGGTCTAGTTTGTGAGCTGCCATGCGTGTGCTGGGAACCGAACCCAGGTCCTCAGCAAGAACAGTAAGCACTTTTAACCCATGAGCCATCTCTCCAGCCCCTAGGGAACACAATTTGTGCAGATGGATAAAGAAGTCTATGGTGGCCAGGCATGGTCGCACATGTCTTTAAGGCAGGGCAGAGAGATCTCTGTGAGTTTAAGGCCAACCTGGTCTACATAGTGAGACACATATGCGCACGCATGCACGCACGCGCACACGGTCTCTAAGTCCTACAAGAGAAGTTAAATACTATTTGCATTTATAAAAACAGGATTATATTTTTATTATAATGCAATTCTAAAACCCACGTGTTTGTTTGCTTTGTTTTTGCTTGTTGTGTTTGGAGACAGGGCCTTATCTTGTAGCCAGGCCTCAAATTCATTCTGTAACTCAGGCTGGCTTTGAACTCATGGTGATCCTTCTACCTACTCCCATGTACATGGAATACAGGAATGTGCCTGCCTAGCAATTATAAAGGCTTAAATTTCTAAGGCTATCATAAAATGCTAATTTCATATGAGACTTTTTTTTTTTTTCCTTGACCCTGAGTTTTATTCTGTGCTCCTGACAGGCCTCGAACTTGAGGTGGATCCTCCTGGCTCAGCCTCCTATATTCTAAGATTATAGCCTTGAGCCACCATACCCCGCTCTCCACTGTAAATCACTTAAACATTGCTTTTAGTGGCTAGACTCCTGCCTTTCATCTTCCACACCAGATTACCAAACACAATAAATTCTCCTCCATCTCTCAACATCTGTCTGCTTCTCTCCACCCTCACTGCCAATAACATCCTATTCTAGACCACTGAATGGATTCCCTACGTTCATGTAAATTTAATTTTGAGAATGGGTCTGTGTACCTCAGGCTGGCCTCAGATTAATGAAACCCAGCCTCTTTCTTCATGTGGTGATACATGAGATTACAGACATGTATCACCACACAGGTTTGCTCTCCCTTTTGTTATAGCTTCCTATTTTCTCCTTATTCACCTCTCTCACTTCCTCTCATTCAGTGCTCTCGTGCCCACAACTAAGCAGCAGTATTCAGTTCAGTTGACATCTAGCATAACTTCCCTGTGAAGGCAATAGCAGATAAATTAACATTCTACAATAGGCTCCTTTCTCATCAAATCCATCTCTGGTGACACTGTAAGTATCACTCTTAACTCTAGCTGCAGCCAGAAGGCTTTTGATTATGTAAATCTAATCATGCCATTCTTTCATTCCTCAGGGCTTCTCAAGTACTCTTGGAACAAAACAGAAACCGTGTTAGTACAGAGGACCAAACCTATGTCATCCTCTGGTCTCATTTGACACGTCACCTCTTCTGTGAAGTGTCCTTTGACTTTCCAAGGCTAAATTAGGTCTCTTTGAATGTCTTTTCTGTGGCACTCAACTGTAATTATGCCTTACTCCTCTATTCAATTCTAAAGTCCCCGAGGGTAAGGACTTTCTCCATCATTAGCATAATGTCAGGCAATTAGGGACCTGGTGTACATCAGCTGTAAGAATGAATAAAGCATTACATTTGCATGAAGTAGTTTTAAAATAAACATCAGAAGGATTTTTTTAAGTGGCAGCTTGTAGTCGGGGGATGCACTTAGTAATAGTGAGGTAGGGAGAAGATCAAAGGTATTTTCTATATTCTAAGATCACAATTTATATGGTGTTGTATATAAAAATCAGAACTGTTTTCACTTAAGTTTTTAGTATTTCTTTGCTTCAGGAAGGTGGCCGTTCTTGAAGGAAAGATGAGCATTTCCTGAGTACCTATTATATTCAAGGCATTGCAGAGTTTGTTTTGACTTAAACAGAACGTTAGGTTCATTTTATGATTCTGTTCAAGAGAAAGCTTTTGTTTGCGCTTTGATAAACACGGCTTAATTTACACGGCCGTCAGTGATGACTCAGTTCCCCAGCAGTTACTGTGTGTGCCTATTAGAAACCTTTCCCACGTCAACTCAGCTAGCGAAAAAAATTTCCTAATTTTAACTCGGACACAGCAGGCTTTGAACGTGATTTGTTGGCTTGAAACGGGAAATGATCTTTCCCGTATGGCGTCATTCGTCTCAAGGCACGGTCTAAGATATAAAAATAAAAGAGGAGAAAAATAAAGGTATGCCCGTCACTTTTTTAATGTAAGGGGTCTCATTCACAAGAATCCGGGTTTCTTGTCGGAAATCGGAGAAAACTTTGCGGGGAGGAGGAGAAAAGGGTTTCCAGCTGCGCGGAACCCCCACCACCCACCCACCCACACATACACAAAAGGACACACAAGTGATGTCGTCCCCCTGCTGCTATTCTTAGCAGCCAGGCGAGTGACTCAAGTCGGGGGGACCTCGGTTCCCTGGACGCGGCCGGTCCTCAGCCCGGTTCGAAGCGGGCCCTCCCCCTCCTCCCACGCCCCCCCCGGTCTTGTCTCCGTCACCCCCTCCCCGGCTCCCTCGCCCAGGTTACCTGTGGAAGCTGACGTTAATGTGCTTGTCGTAGGTCGCGGCGCAGCCCGCCGCGGCGCAATTGGTCGGCATGTCCCCCGGCCCCTCATCCGGCGCTCCCTGACGCCACTTCTCCGGCGCGCAGCCCGCCGAGGCTGCCGCTGTCACCGCGCAAATTAAAAATAAATAAATAAATAAATAAGACGACGACACGCCGAGCAGGCGACCGGGGCGCGGCAGCAGCAGCAGCAGCGATCGAGCAGCAGCAGCGATCGTGCAGCGGCGGCGATCGATCGATCGATCGATCGCTCGAGCTCGGTGCCAGGGGCCCGCCGGGTGGGGATGGGGGGGGGGACCGTGCACCACGACCGGGGCGCGCGGGCCGCCCCCACCCCCCTCTTTCTGTATATTACTAGGGCCGGTGTGCGCCCGCCGAGCCAACAACGGCCCCCGAGCTCCCGGGGCGGACGCTCGCCCTCGCCAACATGGCGGCCACACCCGCTCGCCCTTCCTCTCCCCCCCCACCTCCCCCCCGACGGCGCCCACCCCGGGGTCCCAAAGAGAGTAGAGTCGACTTTTGAGTCTCCGATCGGGGAGAAGACGGCACCGGGGGTGGGGTGGGGGAGGAGGGGTTCTCGCCCACCGAGGAAGGACCCTGCACACTCAGTTCTGCGACTCTGATTAAAGAGCAGGCCCGCTATACCGGGACACCGGCCCCGCCATCTCAGCCGGGGATGCCGGGGTGGGGACAGTTATGTCGGGCGGATGGGTGCGGGACGGAAAACCAAGGGCCAAAGCCTGGCGCCCGAGAGGAACTACAGATCCCAGCGAGCACCGCGCCCGTCGCGCTCTTTCCCACCCACCCCGTCCCTCCCGACGTCCGTCCTCGCGAGACTCGGAAGTCGCCTCCTTCCGGCTTGCCGCCGGAAATGACGGCCGGGACACGGCCTCCTTCTCCTCCTCCTCCTCCTCTTCCACGGCTCCTTTCTCGCGAGGCGGAAGAGCAGCAAGGGGGCGCTAGGAGAGGGTAGTGGGCTGAGCGACGGTCCGGCGAGCGAGCGAGCGAGCGAGCGACAGAGCGAGAGATCTGGGGTGCGGGGAAGTTGGGGAGCAGAGCCTGCTCGGCGACCGAGCACGGGGAGGCCAGCGCCTGCCCGGCCCGTTAGGAACCGAGGGCAGAGGAGCCAGGGGGAAGGAAGGCAGCGGGCGGGCGGACGGACGGACGGACGGGCGGGCGGGCGGGCGGGTCCCCGGACAAGGAGGGCTCCGGGGGTGCGAACAGCGCTGCTTCTCCTCCCACCCCATCCCCCCGGATGGCGACGGCCGATCCTTCGGCCCCGGCCTCCAGCGGCCTCTCCCCGAAGGAAGAAGGGGAGCTCGAAGATGGGGAGATCAGCGACGACGATAACAACAGCCAGATCCGGAGCCGGAGCAGCAGCACCAGCAGTAGCGGCGGCGGGCTGTTACCGTACCCGCGGCGGAGGCCTCCTCACCCGCCCCGGGGCGGCGGATCCGGGGGAGGAGGAGGAGGCGGCGGCGGCGGCGGCGGCTCGTCGTCGTCCTCGTCTTCCTCGCAGCAGCCGCTGAGGAATTTCTCACGCTCGCGGCACCCGTCCGAGCGGGGCCACCTCAGGGGACCCAGCAGCTACCGACCCAAAGAACCGTTCCGGACTCACCCGCCCCCGGTGCGGATGCCTCCGGGCTCCCTGTCGGAAAGCAGCCCCCGGCCGTCCTTCTGGGAGCGGAGCCACCTCGCCCTGGACCGTTTCCGCTTTCGAGGCAGGCCTTACCGGGGTGGGAGTCGGTGGAGTCGGGGGCGAGGCGTGGGGGAGCGAGGAGGCAAGCCGGGGTGCAGACCTCCCCTGGGCGGAGGAGCGGGATCCGGATTCGGCAGCAGTCAGAGTTGGCGAGAACCCTCTCCGCCTCGCAAGAGCTGTATCCTTAACGTGGCGGTCCGCCCTGGGTGTGTCGCCGGAGCTCCCGTGGGCGTCACGGCTCGGTCCCTGAGTTTTAACTTTTCAGAACCACGCATTTGTCTCTGTGTCCGCCGGCAGTTGTCATGTGCCACACACTCCACCGCTGTTTTCTCAGATTGCTTTATTATTGGATGGACTGCCTTGGAACATGAGCGTGTCATGGATTCGGGTCAGCTAGGGGAATCAAGTACAATCTGGGTTTTTAACGGAATACCAGCAGTCCAGATTTCATTAGCATTTGGCTTTTTTTTTGCTAGCACCGGCATTTCGTGTTTTATGGGGAATTCACTTAGGTTATTAGAGGAAAGAAATGCTCATAAAAGAAATACTCATAACATCTTGAGGAATCCTGTTACTTATGTTTCATCCTGACTTTAAGTTTTAAGTTACGTTTTCCTCTGTAATTTTACGGTTCTTGTGAATTTTTTCTTACTCTTCTAGAGTTATTCGTTCTCATTGCTGCCTTTTAAAGTGTGTGTATGCAGACCCTTTATTTTATTTTTTACCAGTTTTAGTAATTCTGATCTTTAAAATTCATGCATAATTTGGAAAGCTATATGCATTAAGTTCACTTTTGGGCTTTATATCTCTTTGTGCTGCCTACGTGTATAGATCAGAGAAAGATAAACTTACCAGCACTTTCATTTTAGTGTGTTAGAAAGGGAGGGATGTGTAGTGTATGGACAAGCTGGGAAGAAAAGCAGTCGATTTCCTAATTTTTGCTCCCTCTAACATTATTGGGTTATCTTAACATTACCAAATTTACTCGGGATTTATGTTAAGAGATTATTCGTCCAAAAACGTTCCGTGTTTTACGATGGGCTTATACCTCCCGACTTTTACTAATTGTTTAAGATAGTATTACTAAGCACTTTTATTACTAGCTATAATTCCCATGATGTAATAATTGTTTAATATATTTTCTATAAAATTTACATACGACACTTAATTGGAACATATTCAGAACTGTTTTTATGAAGCACTTTAGGCTATATTGGCTTTTTCTAGATGTCGTGATGTTAATGGCAAGGGGTACTTAGAGAAACAACAGATTTTGGCTCCTGTGACCTGAAAAAGCTTTTACTTCTATTGCCTAACATTGGTTTAGAAGCATCTCAAGATTGTTTTGGAGAAACATCACAGGTAGGTAATCTTTTAAAACACAGTCAATGTTCTTTCATGAAGATCAGAAAACCTTTGGCCATGATTATATGCAAACATGAGCCATCCATGATTTTTTGCTCTCTGAATTAAAAAACAGGATATCCAAATACATAAACATGTTTTTAAGCTTACACAGATGAAACGTGTAATTTGGGTTGGAGAAACAAATGAAAATAGAATTTAGTAAAAAACATCAAATTGAAGACAAAAGTACTGTGGCAGTTGGATGGTTTCCTTAGTTCCTGGGCGTTAGAAAGGGTGGTGGCTAGGCTTGCCTGCCTCTTTCCTCCATGTTTTTGTCCGATTATTGCTGCTGTTGGGAGTTGTGCATAGACTAGATTTTAAGTACTTACTGCAAAAAGTATAGGGAAGGGCGGGGTGGTGTTGGCGCAGAGGCAGGGGGATCTCTGTGAGTTTCATACCAGCCTGGTCTGTAGTCCAGCCTACAAAGCAACTTCCAGGACAGCCAGAGCTGTTAAACAGAGAGACCCTGTCTAGAAAAACCATTAAAAAAGAACTGAAACAGAATCTGGTCCATTCTGTTTTCTTTAAAGTTGCAAGTAATATATCCTAATTATGTTTAAAAAAATAGACAAAAAGTTATACTCAAGCTATTTCATTTCTAAATCAGTTGCGTCAGAATTGCTCTCTTTTTAGGCAATATTTGTAAAATAGCCTTTTTGTTTGTTTGTTTTTGTTTTGCTTTTTTGTTTTTCGTTTTTGTGTAGTTTTGGTACCTGTCCTGGATCTTGCTCTGTAGACCAGGCTGACCTCAAACTTACAGAGATCCACTTGCTTCTGCCTCCCAAGTGCTGGGATTAAAGGCGTGCACCACCACTGCCCGCCTGTAAAGTAGCCATTTTTATAATCACAGTGGACATAGGAATTAAGCTGCGCAGGATACTGATATTAAAAGAACGTGGATGGAGCTTTATATTCAAGTTTTATTTGCTCGCATTACGTTTTTCCTTCTCAAGTTCTTATTATGAACTCTACCTCTAGTGTGGTTTACTGATATTTCATGAGAACAGTAATGCAGACAATCAAACCAAGCATCCTGTTCTTAAAGTGCAGTATCTGAAAACAGTCAGCAAAATTGCTGATTTCTGAAAAGCTGTCAGAGAAATCAAAATCACAGAAGCACACTGGATATTTACCTACACTCTTTAGACAGGGTTTCTCTCTGTAACTTGGGAGACTGTCTTGGAACTCTGTAGACCAGGCTGGCATCGAACTCTCAGAGATCCGCCTGCCTCTGTCTTCCAAGTGCTGGGATTAAAGGCACTGGCCACCACTTCCTGGCCTGTCTCAGTTTGTTTGTTTGTTTATTTTGTGAGACAGGGTCTCGAGTAGCATAGGCTACTTCAGGACTCCTCATCTCCTGTCTCAGCCTCCTTAGAGTTAGGATAGACATTTTGTCAGTCTTTGTTAGTATTAAGTCTTCCTGTATAACTACCATTTTAAACTTAGAAATCAGATTAGGACAGTGTGTGCCATCAGTAGAGTTAGCCTATCTTCATTTTTGATTTCAGCTAAGGTTGAAAAGTGGTTCTTCCTTTAAAACAGCAGGTTTAAAAGTCACTTTAAAGCCAGTCTCTTTCTCTCTCTCATCTCTTTTTTTTTTTCCTTTTGATACTGACTATTGAGCCCAAGGCCCTACTATAGAAACTACATCACTGGTTCTTTTAAAAATTTGCTTGAAGAGAGGAGCTTGTGAAATAGCTCCCAGTCCTGTCTCAGCTTCCTTGGTGGTAAAGATTAAGGTATTTGCCACCAAACTCATATAAAGGCAGTTTCTTCCTCTTTTAAAGGTTTATTTTGGTTTTGGTTTTGGTTTTGGTTTTGGTTTTTCGAGACAGGGTTTCTCTGCTTAGCTTTGCGCCTTTCCTGGAGCTCACTTGGTAGCCCAGGCTGGCCTTGAACTCACAGAGATCTGTCTGGCTCTGCCTCCCGAGTGCTGGGATTAAAGGCGTGCGCCACCACCGCCCGGCAAGATTTATTTTATTAATCTTAAATGTATACGTGTGTGCATGCGTTCACACGAGTGCCCCAGGAGACCGGGGTGTCAGATTGCCCCGAGCTGGAGCTACAGACAGTTGTGAGCCTCCTGACATGGGTGCTGGGACTTGAACTTGGGTCCTGAGCAAGAGCAATACGCACAACTGCGGCACTGTCCTCTCCAGCCTAAGCAGTCCTTTTCTTCTTCTTCCACTGAGCCTCAGCAAGTAGCACATAAAATACAAGTTAGAAATAACATCTTGACAGACAAGCAAGTGTTGATTTGATCCTAATGCTGTAGAGGTGAGAAAGAGTGTCT